AAGAGGTTCTGGAGGCGAAAAAAATGGCTCACGTAAAATTTCTGTTGAATGAACTACATTCTTATATCAATCAATCATTCTTCCATCAATAAAATTCTGATCAAGGGACTAGAACCCACGGTAACTGGAACTGGGAAAATTTAATATATAAAGTTATTAGTAGGGGATTAAAGTTACAGGGCCTTGGTTAAAAGGACGTAAAGAAAACTCTAAAGAATACAAAATCAGACACAGGGAGCAGCCATCAGCGCTTGGGCTGAGACAGTACATTGAAGGAAGAGGCTTTTCCTATACCACACCACAGACTGAAATCCTGACCTCGGCAGAGGACACCAGTGTGGCTCAGCAGATAACTGAGATGCTGGCTGAAGTGCCACGTCAGCAGGAACCTGAAAATTTGGCCTTTAGGGCGTCCACAGGAAGGTGTTGCAATTGGGCATTCATTCCAGAGCCACCGGATCCTATATGAGGAGAAGCCCACCATCAGAGCTGTCCTGCTGGGACCACTCATTTATGAAGGCACCTGCCAAGGTGTGATTCAAAGTTCCCCAGGGGGCAGGTGCTACATGCAGCTGGCCATCGGGTACTGAAGGAAACCCAACTGTGCAACAGCCTGGTGAACAAAGGACACTGGAACCAGGAAGAGAAACTCCTTCCCCTGACTGCCTTCCTTCTTCAGTTCCTTCAACTGACAAACGTTAACGCTGTGCCAGCTGGCATGGCAGAAAAACGTACAGGCCATGTCCATTATAATAGAGGAGATGGTGAATGATAGATTTGGAGCAAAGAGGCGATAAACTGGTAATTGACTCAATTCCTACACCAGTTATTCATATGAGCTCCTTAGGACTCTTCTGATAGAAACTTGAGATACAGCTGAATCCTTTGAATTCATAGAATTGCTGCTTAGACAAAGAAAGGAGCGTTAGGAGCTTAACTGGTGTTACCAAGCATCTTGAGAATGAAGGCATTTACTTCATTCACTCATTTATTAATTAATTCATTCAAATCCCTACTGTGTTCATAGCATTGGGGTTAGTGGTACAGGAGAGGCAAAATATATAGTTCCTCAGGGGACAGGAAGCAATGCATGTAAAATAAGACTCTTGGTACACAGTAACCTACTCTCAAATTATTCTGGAGGATGCTTTGGTATGAATCCAAATCTAGGCCTCTACAAATAGAAGAACTATTCTGGAGGTGCCTCAAACACAATAAACAATACAAAAATTTATTTTAAACGTTTCTGAGCTGATTTGCAGGAATATATACACTTAGAGGCAATATTCTATTCACTATATATATATATTTTATTTATATATATATTTTTTATATATTTTATATATTTCTCACTATTAAAATTATAGAACATGTCCATTCCTCAGGGGTTGTGAAATTAATTTTTCTAATACTCAGAAGTGTATCTCTCACATGAAATTTTCTGTATTGAGGTATATTATATCATAGACAAACTCTTATTTGGTTGACGCTCCGTCACCAAAATACAGGTATTACCTTCAGAACTAAAGAATTGTTAATGATTGATGCTATTAATGTTTCTGGGCTAAGACGTAGGTGTGATGTTCATGATCAATCTTATACAATGCTGGTCTAAGGTGAATTGCATACCAAAGACAGCCAGGGTATTTTGGCTTGCGATTGAGGAGGTTTAAATAGAAAATATCAATACTAATTTTGAATGTCTACCGAAGTTCACCACCGTCCCCCAAACGCTCATCTTTACTCAACTACCTTTACTCTGTGGAAATTAGATGCAATATAACTGTAGCTAAGCGTGGGTTCTGAAACCAGATTACCAGAGGTAATTACATTTCTGCCCTGCCACTTACTAAATGTGAGACTTCATAAAATGTACTCAGATTTCCCAGAAGGATAAGTTTCTTCATCTTTAAAATGAGAATCAAGGGCACCTGGGTGGTTTGGTCGGGCTGAATTTTGATTTTGGCTCAGGTCATGATCTCACGGTCATGAGATATAGCTCAGGTCATGATCTTGGCTTGATTTTGGCTCAGGTCATGATCTCACGGTCATGAGATATAGCCCCTGTGTCGGCCTCCACGTTAGGCATGGAGCCTGCTTGATATCTCTTTCCATATCTCTCTGCCTCTCTCTCTCTCTCTCTCTCTCTCTCTCTCTCTCAAATAAATAAATAAATAAATAAAAATAAAATGAGAATCATAACAGTATCTACTTAGCAACTTTTTGTATGGTTCAAACCTATTTAATATTCTTAAAGCACTTAAAACTATGCTCAACAAGCAGTATGTGCTGTTTAAGTGGTGACTTTTTTAGTGTTGGAGTTTGGGACCCAAGAGAGTCAGCTGTTTAGATTTTTTTTTAACGTTTATTTATTTTTGAGACAGAGAGAAAGAGCATGAACAGGGGAGGGTCAGAGAAAGAGGGAGACACAGAATCTGAAACAGGCTCCAGGCTCTGAGCTGTCAGCACAGAGCCCGACGCGGGGCTCGAACCTACAGACCTTGAGATCATGACCTGAGCTGAAGTTGGAAGCTTAACCGACTGAGCCACCCGGGCGCCCCAATACTGTTCAGTTCTATATGAGAGTGGAGTGGAAGGATTCACTGGTTAACAGAAACTGCAAAAAATGAGATGTGGTAATACTGATTTACTTAGGTTTTCCATGCTCACCTTTTTTCAAACAAAAATCTGTTTAATGTAAATTTTAGTCTGTTAACATAACAGTGCAATTTAGTTGGTTCCAAGAGTAGAATTTAGGGATTCATCACTCACCTACGACACCCAGTGCTCATCACAGCACGTGTCCTCCTTCATACCCATCACCATTTAACGCGTCCTCCACTCACCTCCTTCCATCGGCCCTCAGTTTTTTTCTCTATTGTTAAGAATCTCCTGTGGTTCGTTTCCCTCTCTTTCTCTTTTTCTTCCCTTCCTTCCCAAATTTAAGGCTAATTTAACTTATTTCATTGGCTTGTACAAGGAATCCGATGAACTGTGGACATGAACACCAGGTGATCTAACAAGCATCTCGCTAGCCGGGGATCCCCTCTCTCCAAATCTATGTCCTCAGTTTGAATTTTTAAACTATTACAAATTGGCGTTAACAAGGAATTGATATATCTGGATGTTTCTTAAATTGATCACATACACGAGGCCTTCTGATTAGTACCACAAACTGAGAAAAAGACTTTACTGTGATCCAATCGAATGAAAATTCCTTTAGGACCTTAAATTTTGTTATTTATCATTTCTCCCGCTTGATATTTGATATAGTCACTCACTAGTTTTCTAACATAAAAATCACATTACCACTGGGTAGTTATCACTTAACAGGGTTCTGTAAAAGCCAGATTCCTTCCTTGCTTTCATTTACTCTTTTATTCATTCAACTAACAGGTATTTAGTATGTACACTACCTAGAATGAATTCATAAAATTTGATTAAAGAGATCACATTCTTAAATTTTTTTTTTTAACGTTTTTATTTATTTTTGGGACAGAGAGAGACAGAGCATGAACGGGGGAGGGGCAGAGAGAGAGGGAGACACAGAATGGGAAACAGGCTCCAGGCTCTGAGCCATCAGCCCAGAGCCCGACGCCGGGCTCGAACTCCCGGACCGCGAGATCGTGACCTGGCTGAAGTCGGACGCCCAACCGACTGCGCCACCCAGGCGCCCCTAAAGAGATCACATTCTAATGCTCATCTGAAGACCTCTTTTAACTAACAGACTCATGAGTCAGTCTAGTCCATAAAGTCAAATCAGTTTTCTTCTCGGAGATATTTGAGAGAAAGGGTTTATATTAGCAGAAAACACGCAGCAGTTAAATTATTAAACTCATTATTGTTAATAATAGGTGGACTTTTAAAAACGTCAACTCTCTTTCTATAATATAATAGAAAAAAAAATAGTAACAATGTGTCCCCCAAATAGATGAATAGTAATATAAAGTGTTGGTCGTCATTCAAATTGATGTACTATAGCTCTGAAATGGCAAACCCTGACATTGTATAGCAACATACAATGGGTCTATTCAACACTGAATTAAGGGACAAGGAGAACACAAAATTGTGTTAGAACACTGGCGAATGTCCACTGCACTGTCGGGGCTTCATTGTGAACCTTCACATATCCCAGTTTTCAGTTATTAGGTACAAGTTTTGTTACGGAAATGTCAGTGGATGGCTTACCTGGCTGTAGGGACCTTAAATAAACCCCCTTCCCAGGCCCCACCCACCCTCATTCCCTAGGAAGTGCACACACACCTCCCTCCTGTTATTCCTGGGAATCACCAGAGACAACAAGGTGTTACTAAGCTCTCAAGACAGGTCAACTCATGCCTTTATGCTCTTGCCTCCATATATATCCATTTGCGTCTGCAGTTTGTTTCCGGGTTTTGTTTTTTTTTTTTTAAACAGATAAAAGTTGAATTATTTTCTTTCATTCACTAAGCTTTTGTATGGTGTCTACTAGTTAATTTTTTTTTTCTTTTTCCTTTCTTATCACTGAGCTGTAGTAAGTCCGTTATTGATGTTCATAGTTGCTCTCAATGTCTCAGAAGACCACAGAGAAAACGGGAAGTTTTTTAGCGTCTCCCTAAGAACACGTTTGTTTAATGGCTCCCTCTGCTGGAGAGAGTCTGCACTGCTTGTTTTTGTTATCTGATACAACGACTGGGGACAAGCTAGGAAAGTTCCTACACATAGCTGGAAATTTTCCAAGGAAATTGGCCTAAAGATGAAACCACTGCTAACAGCATTGTGAGAGACTAAAGAGATGGATGTTCTGGATTTTCAGCATTGCAAGATGTCGATGAAACCACTGCTAACAGCATTGTGAGAGACTAAAGAGACGGATGTTCTGTATTTTCAGCATTGCAAGACGTCTTCCGTTAAAGTGAGGGCACCGGTCGAGAAGGACTGAGATCTTGAAAACTGGAATGGGGACATACGGGAAGATTCCACTCAAGCTAGGGACATGGAACCCGCAATTCCATTGAGTCTTGCCAGTAAATGTAGCCCTTTCTTAGGAGGCTAACCTAATTCTAAAAATAGGAGATCATGCTCCCTCCATCAATTCCCAGACCTGAGCCATTTTACAGACCTGGAATCTCTGTAATTTAGAGTGGGGAGAAAGCCTTTGAGAAAGAACTCTACTAAACAAACAAAAAGAAATGATATAGTTCATCTTTTTCCCCCCACTCTTCCCCTAAGAGATCTATGACCATTTACCTGGGTGACTATACATTGAGGAAAGAGAAATAATCGAACTTTTGAGGAGTTGCTGGGCAGTGGCTCAGAATGGACACTGATTTCAGGAGACCCAAGCCATCAGTGTTTTATACTGATCAGAGTAATCGCATAAGTAGGTCAAATGATGAGTGAGATTATGGATTCTGTCTGCCGCACAGTGAGTCCAGCTGGTCCCTCAAGCCCGAGTTTTGTTCTCTTCATCCATCACAGACTTCTCCCTTTGACTAGGCATGTGGATGCTGGTAGCTTCTATTTCCTGAAGACTATAATCCAAGAACTCCTGGATGTATATGTCCAAATGGGATAGGCTTCCAAATTTGAAAGGAGAAAGAAAATAAGAAAGGTTCATTTCCAAAGGATCTGCGCCAAGATTACTAAATGAATTATTCTAGGACCACCAGAGAATCACTTGCTAGACTTCCGCGTAGAGTCGCATGAGCAGAAAGCACGCCCAGCCCGTGCCATTTAGTGAACTGATTGCAAACCAGAGTCCCTGCACAGTCATCAGCAGTGTCTGAATCCCAAGACCTTTCCAGACTACTCGCAGCACAAACTCTCAGCTACTTTTGTGCCTATTCCCCGTGCACAAGTCCATGGTGCTTATCATCCCTTACAATATTCTGTGTTTTCAAGTGGTTTAGTCCAAAAACAAGTCTAATAAACATTCTTATAGTCCTATGAACACCTCTGTGCTCATAAAATAAAACATTGTTGTTGGAATGTAGCGCCAACGTGCCATAACACAAATGCTTTACCCATCCGTTCACATACAGTGTCCAACTCAACATACAGACGTAGGATTCTTACGTTATGATATGACTTACAAGAAAGCTTCTAAGGATGTAACCGCCATAAAGAGGTGAACATAAACGTCACGAGAAAGTTTGTTTCTGAAGCATTTAAGCCTCCACGTACACTCATTTGACATTCATAGAATTCTCTGTCAATATCATCGCCCACGCAGAAAAATTCTTCAGTTTTCCCTTGGCACTCGATGACTTACCAATGAGGCCTCTGTTGTCTGAGCCTCTGGTCTTTTTGGCAGCCTATCTTTCCAGCCTCATATCAGCATTTTACTTTTGTGATCATTTACGGAAAACAACACCGTAAGTAGTTTTTTGAGCATTTATGGGCTAGACATTTTGAAAGACACTGGAAATATAAAACCAGTTATTATGTAGTTTATAGTCAAGCGAGGGTGGAGAACATTAATCAAATATTCACTCAAATACTGATATAGGTAAGACCCAAAATGTGATAAGTTCTGGGAAGGGGTATATAATGTTGGGATATTTGACCTCGTCATGGAGCTCAGAGAAGATCCTTAAGAATTCAGCTTTTTATGGAGAGTGGTTGAGAGTTCACTTGATAGAGAATAGAGAAAAGAGGCTTCCAGAGACAGGGAAAATGTCTGTCAGACAGTGTGGTGAAATTGTGGTTGAGTTCCTGAAATTAGTCTAATATGGTCGTGGTACTGGGAGTTTGGATAAGTTTTGTGTAGAAAGACACTAAGTAAGCGAGGATTAGAGCTGACTGGGATTTCTAGGCTGTGTTATGGAGTTTGGTGTTATTCTAAATTTGTTACTTTTTTGACATACGTTTTCAAGTTTATTTATTCTGAGAGGGAGACAGAGAGTGTCTGAGCAGGGGGAGGGCAGAGAGAAGGAGAGACAGAATCCCAAGCAGGCTCCCTAATGTCAGTACAGAGCCCAACACGGGGCTCTATCTCACAAAGTGTGAGATCGTGACCTGAGCTGAAATCAAGAGTCCGGCACTTAACCGACTGAGCTACCCAGGCATCCCTGGTGTTAGTCTAAGAACGATGTTGAAGTGTTTTTCAAAAGAAGGGTTGTATTGTCAGTATGTGTATTTTTAAAATATCACTTAGGTTACGTGGTAGAGAATAACTGAAATGGATTAGGAGTAGAACAAGGAAGGCCTTGTTAGGTCAGTCACTTAATATTTTGGTACTTTTGTATTAAGGTTGTGAAAGCAATGAAGGGAAGAGGTGAGATTTGAGAGATATTTAGTAAAAACACTAACAATACTTGGTTTTGTGGGAGGGAGAGCGGATAGCAATACAGAAAGGTAGGCCAGATAGAGGGTGATGACGACACGGCTGGACTCTAAGTTGTGACATTTCTTGTCTTGTGTGGTGTGCCATTGACTGAGACACTGAGTGCTGGAGGATGGTCCCTTTCATGAGGAAAGTGATTGAACTACTTTTTTTTAAAGAATTTTTTTTAATGTTTATTTTTGAGACAGAGACAGAGCATGAATGGGGGAGGGTCAGGGAGAGAGGGAGACACAGAATCCGAAACAGGTTCCAGGCTCCAAGCCGTCAGCACAGAGCCCGACGAGGGGCTCGAACTCACGGACCGTGAGATCGTGACCTGAGCCGATGTCAGACGCTTAACCGACTGAGCCACCCAGGCACCCCATGATTGAACTATTTTTATATATTAAGTTTGAGATGCCTTTGAGATTTCAGATTTCATATGTTAAATGTCCTTTATTAACTTTCTTTGATATAGTAGAGACAGTGTATGCACACTTGCTCGTAAGCAGGGGAGGGGCAGGAGAAGGAGAGAGAGAATCTTAAGCAGACCCCACACCTAGTGCAGAGCCTGATTTGGGGCTCAATCTCATGAGCATGAGGTAATGGCCTGAACTTAAATCAAGAGTCAGATGGTCAACCAACTGACAGCCAGGTGCCCCAACTTGATATGTTATATAAGCACTACCGTATATGGATCTGGTGATCCGGGAAAAGTCTGGGCTAGAGATGTAAATTTGATTTTGATATGAATTTCTTCGTAAAAATGTAATTAGGTAAGGATATTATAGAGGGAAACTGTGGAGAAGATAAAGACCGAAGTTTCGAAACCACATGCAAAATGAGAATGGGGATTGAATAACTGATAATTCAGACGAAAAAATACATTCATTCTATCTTCTCGGTTTCTACATTTCATTTTCTCTATTAGCCTTCCTAAATCTCTGAGAAATAGTACTATACCCACCCGAATGAACACACACACACACACACACACACACACATACACACACACACACACACACACACACCCCTCTGGGACACACGTGGCCCTCTGGACTTTGATATATTCTGAATTCAAACTTCATGTGGTGTCTTTCCGTCAGAGAAATGGAGACTGATTTCCTGCGGTGTGGGTTACAGTTGACAGATCCACGGATTAATTTTCCCACATTTTTGTTCAGCTATCTTAATTTGAGACACCTGGGCACATTTCATGCTCCGGGTCCGCCATTTTTCTTCTAGTGAAAACCTATGAAGGAAGAAAATGGTTATCTTTACATCAGCATATGTCCAGAGACTAAAGAGGGCCTCAGAAAATATTTTCTAATTTTTAAAATAAAAACATGAGTATTTAAACAATTTAAACAATATACAATATGGTGGGTAAGGTAATTCTTCCCACCCTCAGTTTTATTTTGCAAGGGAAGTTAATAGTTAAGGAGTAGTAGTCAAGGTTATATGGATAATGCTAAAATGGCACTTCTGGTTTTGTTCATTTAAAAACTGTTGAAAAGGGGCGCCTGGGTGGCGCAGTCGGTTAAGCGTCCGACTTCAGCCAGGTCACGATCTCGCGGTCCGTGAGTTCGAGCCCCGCGTCGGGCTCTGGGCTGATGGCTCAGAGCCTGGAGCCTGTTTCCGATTCTGTGTCTCCCTCTCTCTCTGCCCCTCCCCCGTTCATGCTCTGTCTCTCTCTGTCCCAAAAATAAATAAACGTTGAAAAAAAAAATTAAAAAAATTAAAAAAAAATAAAAACTGTTGAAAAGAGCAGAAATTTACATTTTGTAAACTATACTTGTGGTCTTTTGTTTTTTAAGAGAGGGAGAGAGAGCATGAGTAGGGGAGGGGGCAGAAGGAGAGAAAAAGAGAATGTTAAGCAGTCTCCATGCTCAGTGAGGAGCCCCAAATGAGGCTCAACACCATGATCCTGGGATCATGACCTGAGCTAAATCAAGAGTTGGATGTTCAACCAACTGAGCCACCCAGGTGCCCCTAAACTTGTGCTCTTACAAGAGATTTCACACTGGTCAATTTGCCTCTTTAATAAAATAAAAGGACGCTATTGGCAAATCCTGCTTCCCATCCCTACATCTTCTGAGTGCGTGGAGTGAGATGTCTTTTTTTCCTCGACTTTCCGAGTAGACCATTTTATATGAATATTTGTCAGATCATATGATTCGGTAGGGAAATTTATACCTGTTTCCTCAGTTCAAGCCCAACAGCATCAGACGACTCTTTCTTGTCATACAGTATGGGATTAAAATCACAAAAAAAGCTAAAATACAATAAACTCACAGATGGGAGTCAAAAGGGTTGTTGTCTACCCAGGTCCATGATTCCCCTCCAGGTGGAATAGTCAAGCCAATCCAGTAAAACACTCCAGTATTTAGGTGCTTCCATAGGAAACTCTAAAGAGAATAGGAAATATTATAGGAAACAACTGATCGATTCTTATAGATACAAAAAATAAATTTCCCAAGAGGACCTTTTGTATGCTAGTCCTACACGAGAAGCAGGGATTGAACTTCACACTTTTCTAACGGATCATACCGGAGGGACAACGTACCGCACTACAATGTCGTAAAGTATGCGTGGTTACCGGAGATCCTAAGACTGCGAGGATAAGCTTCCAAATTTGAGTCCTGGCTCGACGATTGATTGCTGTGCATCTTGGCACAGTTGTTGAATCTTTTTACTTGTGTTTTCCCCAATCTCTGAGACTCAGATTATAGTAGTACCTATCTCAAAGAGCTTTGTTATTAAATAACATTATTCTACACTGCTTGGAACATAATAAATTCTCATTACATAAATGTTAGTGGTTATAATTAATTACAGGTAAGAAATAGTAGATAGAAGCAAGAGAATATACAGGGAAGAAAGGAAGCAATATCTGAGCTGACATGGTACATATTGTTCATAGTTTCTTAATAACTTTTTCTATAGTAATAAAACCCCTGAGCCATATCTATGGCCAGACATAGTAAGGATATGTTTCCCAGGCTCCCTTTTGGCTAAGTGCGACCATGTGACTAATTTCTGGCTAATGGAACACAATTCAAGCGCTACTGAAATTCTAATCAAGCACGTAAAAGGTAGGGCTGTATCCTTCCATTCATTATTTCCTTCTTTTCTGATGGCTAGAATGTCCACATGGTGGTCCATCAACCGGAAATAGGTGGACACAGACAGCACTCTACAGACAAGCCTAGGAATCCATAGCTGTACGGACTAAAACGTGAGTGACATAACCAATTGCATAGAGGAATCGATACATTTTCCCCCTATTTTAACACTTCAACATTGGAAACCTCAGACACTCCCTGGCTCCTAGTAGTTTAACTGGGAGTTTTGTTTTTGCTTTCTGATTGTCCTAACGCTTTTAAGCGTACTAAAGGGTATCTTATGAGTGAAACTGTTTGAGAGTCAATAAAGTGAACATCTACCTTGTTTAAGCTACGGTGATTTGGGTTCTCTGTCACATGCAGCTGAACTCATAGGCCAAGTGTCGTAACTGTTTGTAAGAAAATAAAGTCGTTATGCACGCATACAAGACAACGTCGTGTTGTTCCATTGAATTATCTTTGCGCTATGGTAGAAAAACATCGGTTGACTAAATTTTTGTAGGTCTGCTTCTGGCATTTCTATTCAGTGTCACTGGTCGGTCTGTCTTTCGCCAATTCTACGCCATATTAACTAATTTTGCTTTATAGTAAGACTTGAGATCGAATGGTATATCCTCCATTCTCCTGCTTGCTTTGGGCCTAGTCTGTTCTTTTCTTAGTCTCTTTTCTTTCTTTTTTTTTTTAAGTAGCGTAGATGACCGATTCTACATTATTTTCTTTTCAAACGTAAGCACTTAAGGCGATAAAGTTCCCTCGAAGCTCTGCTTAAGTTGAAACCTGTAAATTCTGACACAGTAAGATGTTGTTTTCCGTCAATTCACAACATAGTTTAAAAATTTTGCTCCGAACACTTCCTCTTTGACCCAGTCATCATTCAGAAGTGGGTTGCTGAATTTTCAAACGTTTGGGAACTTTCCAAACACTGTTCTGTTCCTGATTTCCAGTTTAATTTTCTGAAGGTCTGAGGCATGCTTTGTAGAAGATCTATTTTTGAAGATTTTAAACGTTGATTAAGTTCTCACATATGGTCTGTCTTCATCAAAGTTCCATGTGTTTTGAAAAAAAAAAGTGTATTCTGATGCTGTTGGATACAGATTTCTATAAGATCAATTAGGTTTAATTGGTTTATAGAGTTGGCTATTTATTTATTTGTTTGTTTATTTATTGGGTTGTTTTTTCAGTTACTCAAAGTGACATGTTGATAACTCCAACAGTATTTGTGGATTCCCCATTTCCTCTTAGTTCTATCAGTGTTTACCTTGCTGATATATATAAAATTGATTCCTGTTGTGGGATTCAAGGCCAAAGGGTGGAATATTATGGACCAAATTGTGTCTCTCCAAAATTCCTGTGTTGAAGCCCTGACCCCCAGGACTTGAAAATATGACTGCATTTGAAGTCAGAGTCTTTAAAGAGCTGATTCAACTAAACTAGGGCTATTAGCGTGGATCTTAATTCAATCTGACTGCTGTCCTTATAAGAAGAAAAATTGGGGCACACGGAGAGACACAGATACAGCCACACAGAGGAAAGACTATGTGAGGATGCAGTAAGAGGTGGCCGTCTGAAAGCCAAGGAGAGAGGCATTGGCCAATACCTTGATCTTGGGACTCAGCCTTCAGAACTGCAAGAAATTCATTTCTCTTGCTTAAGTCATTAAGTGTGTGGTCCTTTGTCACGGCTGCCCCAGCAACCGCATACAACTCCTTTATCATTTTGCAGTATTACCCCCCCCTTTTTTTTTGCTTGTTTGTTTGTTTGTTTGTTTGGAGTGTCCTGTTTGTTTGGGTCCTTTTATTTACCTCGTACCCAATGATTTGACGCTAACTTGACTTGACAAAACCCACTGGTTTTGTGCATAGTAATGAAACGAGGTTACTAGTCTGTCCTAGGGTTGAAGTTAATCGTTAGGAGGGTGGGTTTCTCATCTGTTGCTGCTCTGGTAATCCTCGGTGCACCTCGGGTTTCAAATTCCTGCCGTGGCATCTTGTGTTCAGTGGTTTTGGTTTGTCTGTGTGCCAGGGAAATGTCTCCTTGACCTGAGAATTCAAGTCTCCCTTCTCACCATGCCTCATGAAGACCTCTTTGCGCATTCTTCTTCCTCCCTTGTCCCTCTCCCTTCTTGACTTCCTATTTGAAACTTGTTAGCTTGATAGTAAAAGGCAGCGGAGGCAATGGTCTTTCTTGTTCTGATTATGCCTCAGTCTTAGGCAGGCACTCACCCCCGTCTTCTCTGTGCGGCTTTCTCTGTTCTGCTGCCCCTCCTCTGAATGTAGTCGTGGTCCCATTATGTATTCTCGATCCTCCCACGGGAGTATTTTCGGTTCCCAGTCCTCTTTCTCACCTGCAGTGGGTTTCACCAGCGCCCTAAAGGCAGCTGTCCTTGTCACCGGCACGCACATGAAGGTTTTTGTGCCATAGCACAGTTAACAGACAGGGGGACAAGGATCTAGGTGGAATTTCTTGCCACTTCCGCATCACTACTCTTTTCTTCTTCCAGGTCTGTGCCACAATGGACACTTTCTTATGGTTCCTTCCAATCTTTTCTTTTCTTCTTTTAATGTTGATTTGTTTTTGAGAGCAAGAGAGAGACACAGGGAGACAGAGCGTGAGCGGGGAAGGGCAGAGAGAGATGGAGACACGGAATCCGAAGCAGGCTCCAGGCTCTGAGCCGTCAGCCCCGAGCCCGACGCGGGGCTCGAACCTACAAGCCGCGAGATCATGACCCGAGCCAAAGTCGGACGTTTAACCGACTGAGCCACCCAGGCGCCCCGCGCCCCTCTTTGCAATCTGTTCTTTGAGAGCCAGTGACGTTGACAGAAAAATAGCCTTCCAGGGTTTGTAGAATTCCCTCATTTCTAAAGAGCCCAGGAGCCTCACACTGTTCTTGCACCTTACTATCAGCCTGAACTCATCTTTAAATTATTTTGACTGAACTCTTCCTTCTGATGCGTAATGCCTGATTTGTGTATCCCAAGTGAGTGAGGATGTGTCTTCTCTTTCCCACAGGTACCTGTTTCAACATAGATTTTGGCCCTGCAAACCTGCCTTTCCCATGGATCTGAAACAAGTTGGCAATTTATAGTTAACTGGCTATTTCTTATTGTAAAAGTTGTAGTAACATTTCTTCAAGATCTTCGCATCTTGCCGTGAAAAATCTCCTTGCTTTTGTTGGTTTGTTTGCTTAAATACTTCTTTTTCTCATTTTCTTCTTCTTCCTCCCCCACCCCTCCTTTTTCTCCTTCTTTCTACTTTCTTTTTTTTTTTTCTTTGCCATAGGTGACACATGGGTTTTCTAGGTGGACTTATAATTCTCTTCCTTTCACTTTATTCTTAACTTATTTGAAAGCTAGAGACGGGGGCGCCTGGGTGGCGCAGTCGGTTAAGCGTCCGACTTCAGCCAGGTCACGATCTCGCAGTCCGTGAGTTCGAGCCCCGCGTCGGGCTCTGGGCTGATGGCTCAGAGCCTGGAGCCTGCTTCCGATTCTGTGTCTCCCTCTCTCTCTGCCCCTCCCCCATTCATGCTCTGTCTCTCTTTGTCCCAAAAATAAATAAACGTTGGAAAAAAAAAAAAAGAATGCATATATCTTATTAAAAAAAAAAAAAGAAAGCTAGAGACGGATTTGCTAGAGAAATTATTTTCTGTTTCTTGGAGTAATTATTCTTCTGTAATATATATCTTATCTGACTTTTACTTGCCTTCTTTGGAGAAATTTGGAAACGGAAATATTTATGTATAAATTCTATGCTGATTCCTTTTAGATTCTTATCTATCCGTGAAAGAAAACAATTATACCTGGCCCATTCAGTTGTTTAGGAATAATGTGAAGGGGTGTAATCTGAACTGGAAGAAGGAATTTTCTATTAAAATATATTGTCTCAGTCTACTGGTCTCCCCCATCTGGTTTATTGATTGCCTAGAAGATATGTCTTTTCTGTATTTCAGCATCCTTCCCTTTGATGGTGAGCAGGAAATACATGAGGCTCTTAGTGAAATATTTCATTGAACAATTTCTTTGTGCAGGGATTTGTTATTTATCCCTTCCAGAGCATTCTGATGAGAAGCTTTCCAGTTGATACCTGCTTCCCCTTTCTTGCCTTAAAATTGACCTCAAGGAGAAGAAAACAGTTCTTACTCTATCCTGGATTCAGCTCATATTTGAGTCAATTTGAGCTGCATCTGATAGACACTCTTACAGGTTGAGATTTGGTGTTACACCGGTTACAGTGAGAAGATAGTTTACTTCTTTTTTCTTTTTTAATTTTTTTTAACGTTTATTTATTTTTGAGACAGAGAGAGACAGAGCATGAACGGGGGAGGGGCAGAGAGAGAGGGAGACACAGAATCGGAAGCCGGCTCCAGGCTCCGAGCCATCAGCCCAGAGCCCGACGCGGGGCTTGACCTCACGGACGGCGAGATCGTGACCTGAGCTGAAGTCGGACGCTCAACCGACTGAGCCACCCAGGTGCCCCACAAAACTTCAATTTAAATTAAGCCAGTTAGAGAAATACTCTGCTCAAGGAAGAAGGTCCTTAATGAGGACTATTCTGTATTTCTTTTCTCTCAGCATCATCTTAATTTTAGCTGCCATGATATCTGACTCCAGCCTTTGTGAATATTGCAATAAACATGAGAGATGAGGGAAGATATTTACCGTCTTATATTTTAAAATGGAATCCAGTAAGCTATGGGGATCCCTGGTGGAGAAGTTAGGTGTAGAGTAGCAAATGAATTCCTCCAATCCATAGCCACTCCCTCCCAAAAAGCTTAAAAATGAACATGCAGTTCAACAATTCATTCAACCAACATTTATGTAGTTAACAGGAATGAGGCTTCACATTATTTTCATAGAAATTTCCAAGTATGTAGCACAATAACTGTAATGAAGAGTGTGAAGGATGCTATAATCTCCAAGTTTGATATCTCACCATATCGATGAAGTCTCGAATCACCATGAGATGTGAATTTTTCATGGCACAGTCATTTTTACTTTCATGCCAAGATTTATTAGCTTCAGCAACCCAGTAACATTTCCCCCCGTGTAGCCTCCAGTCTTTCGAAGGGCATGATTTATGAGCAGTAGAAGAGTTGAAAGAAACTGGAAGGAAAAAGGATAAGTAATTAAAAGAGACTTAGAACTATATACCTAATACCACATACAAGCTTCTCAAATTTTGTTAAATTATGGTCTAAAGCTTTCTTTGACAAAAGTATATGCTTTTCTCAAGGTGGATTTGGAAAGAATACAGATTAACAGAATTTCAACCATGTGTATATTCATTCTTCCATTCTTTTTCTGTTTAATTCACTTAAAAATATATCATATTTTCTATCAGCAAGGCAACATATAAGACACTAGGATCAAGACTGTATAGGGTCAATGCAGACACTGCCTGCACTCAAGTCTCAGGCAGATAAAAATTTTAAAGTAAAATACAAATTAGAGATTTTAATTAGTGGTCCACCATTACACCAGACATTTTGGGAGTTATCTATCACACTGGAATATATTTTCTTGGACAAAATTTGCATAATAAGTGGCCCCCAAAGCTTAAGATAGATTGATCCTCCCATATAAAAAGGATCTTGACATCCCCAAATGTGCTTGTAACAAGTAGTTTTGATTTATAATATTTGCCAGTAGGTTTAGATGATGACTCATAGCCATCCTGGGTATACCAGTAATTTATTGCCCTTGAAATAAATATCCTTTAAAAACACACATACATATACACAGAAAATGACTTGAAGGCACTGAAACATGAACAAAAGCAGGCAGATTTTGGAGGGGAAGTGACACTTGAAATAGGTATGGAAAGGTATATATTTTTTATTTTTACAACTTTTAGCTTAAGACAGCCCAATGTTGGTGCCATGTAGAGTGAGTAAAATTTCAATAGACAATCTGCAGTCTTTTGAGACTAAAAAAACAAGACAAAAACAAAAACAAAACAAAACAAAACAAAAAACCAGAGAACAGAGTTTGAAGCAACCACAGATCTTGAAAATGGAGGATGACTCCCATGAAGAAGAAAACATAAAGGATGTGCACCGAGTTCCAAGTATAACAGTTTTCCAAGTTGCTGCCTGATGCATGTGAAAGCTACATTATAGTTAAGGATAAAATAATTTATTTGGGAAAAAAAAAAAGAATTTGTTTGAGATTTGAGCTACTGCCCAAAAGGTAGATATTTTTGTTTGTTTGTTTTAGAGAGCAAAAGTGGGGGAGAGCGGCAGTGGGAGACAGAGAGAGAGACAGAGAGAGAGAGAGAGAGAGAATCTTAAGTAGACTCCACATTCAGTGCAGAGCCCCCATGTGGGGCTCAATTCCACATTCCTGGGATCATGACCTAAACCAAAATCAAGAGTCAGACCCTCAACCGCTCAACCAAATGAGCCACCCAGGAACTTCCCAAAAGACAGAAATTGAAATTTGAGGTCAGCTATACCAAGTCCCTGCTAAAATAGGAAAATCAACACTGTTTGGAGAAATACATCAGCATACAGACTTCTCAGCATAGCCTGCACAATATCCAAGGGCACAGTCTCCAAATACTTGACATAAGAAAATCAGGAAAATATGACCGATTAAAAAGAGAAAGGAAATCAATGCAGCACAACAGGAAAATGATGCAGATTGAGAATTATCCCCAAATATTCTAAAGCAGCTGTTCTAATTAGGCACAAGTATGTAAAAGAAAATATGTTTGTAATTAAAAAATGGGATACTTCTAAGAAATAGAGAATTTTTACTTTTGTTAAGAAGTGAAATTTATAATTAAGAAATGCATGATATGCAAATTTCATTAGATTGGGCTTAAAAGCAGAGAATTAGCAGGAAAAAAAATGTTTAGGGAACTTGAAATTGTCCAATATAAAAAAACAAGGAAAGGGGCGCCTGGGTGGCGCAGTCGGTTAAGCGTCCGACTTCAGCCAGGTCACGATCTCGCGGTCCGGGAGTTCGAGCCCCGCGTCAGGCTCTGGGCTGATGGCTCAGAGCCTGGAGCCTGTTTCCGATTCTGTGTCTCTCTCTCTCTCTGCCCCTCCCCTGTTCATGCTGTGTCTCTCTCTGTCCCAAAAATAAATAAACATTGAAAAAAAATTTTTTAAAAATAAAAAATAAAAAAAAAAGGAAAAACAGTTGGAAAAAATATACAAAGTCTCAATGTTTCGCAGGGCAATATAAAAATATTTAACATACATGAAATTGAAGTCCTAGAACCATCGGAAAGAGAAAATAAGGGGAAAAATGGTAATAGTTCAATTTCCTCCAAATTATTTAAATATATAAATCTATACTTTCAAGAAGCTAATCAAACCCTAAGCAGGTATTTTTACATACGCAAAAATAAAATAAACTGCTTGCAACAGAGAAAAATCTTGAAAACAGAGAAAAATTGCATGCCATTTATAGGGAAACATTAAAAAAAAAGCCCTTTCACATAATGAATTATGGGGGGCAGAATATAGTGAAAAACATCTTCAAATTGTTGAACAGAACCAAGAAACACTTAACTGTAGAGAACAAACTGATGGTTACCAGAGGGGAGGTGAATGGTGGGATAGGTTAAGTAGGTGATAGGGATTAAGAAGTGCACCTGTGATGAGCACCAGGTGTTGTATGAAAGTGTTGAGTCCCTGTGTTGTACAGCTGAAACTAATCAGATATTGGTCCAGTGGTTTTGCATTTTCTGATTTGATTCTTGGTCAATTCTTATTACATATACACACACACACACACACACACACACACACATATATATATACACATATATACATTTATATATATATATACATATATATGTATATATATATATATTTATAAAATTTCTGTCTTTCTTTTCTTCCTTTATCTATTCTGGTTGTTGTTTTGCTTAAGCAGACATTTTTAATCTATTCTTTTTACACCTCTTCTGTATCTCCTTCTTTATTTTCCTCTATCTTTCTCTGGATTAAGTGGTAGAGTTTCTCTGATTATCTGCTTGGTCAATTTCTCTCTCTCTCTCTTTTTTTTCTTTTCTTTTTCTCTGCCCCTGTCATTTCTGTCTTTGTATGGGATAAGGCTTCTTCCACTACCACCCCATTTTTAAATGTTTTCCAGGGTTACTTCAAAGACCAAATCAAAGCACACCTGATGAAAGGTCAAAACCACCACTACAAGTAGGGAAATAAAGCAAACAGAGTCACAACAAGAAAGAGGGTACAATACACTCCAAAAAGACCTTCTGAAGGGCCAGGCCCTGGACAGTGTATGACCCCCTTTTATAATAGTAGTGCTCACAGGTGCAGGACAAGCTATTAGGACACATAAAAGACAGAAAACTAGCCAAAATGGTGAAACGGAAGAAATCTCCTCAAAAGAAACTTGAGAAAGAAATGACAGCTAGAGAATTGCTCAAAACAGATGTAAACAATGTATCTGATCAAGAATTTAGAATAATAGTTATAAAATTAATAGCTAGACTTAATAAAAGCATAGAAGACAGCAGAGAATTTATTGCTGCAGAGATTAAGGAACTAAGAAACAGTCATGATGAATTAAGAAATGTTGTAAGTGAGGTGCAAAATAAATTAGGTGCAGTGACAGCAAGAATGGAGGAAGCAGAGGGGAGAATAAGTGAAATAGAACATAAAATTATGGAAAATGATGAAGCTAAGAAAAAGAGAGATAAAAAATACTAGAACAAGAGGGGAGAATTAGAGATAAGTGATTCAGTGAAACATAATAATGGCTGCATCATAAGAGTTCCAGAAGAAGAAAAGAGAGAGAAAGGGTCAGAAGGTTTACTTGAACAAAATATAGTTGAGAACTTCCCTAATTTGGAGAAGGAAGCAGACATCCAAATCCAGGAGGCACAGAGAACTCCCTTCAGATTCAACAAGAATGGGCCTTCTCCATGGCATATCATAGTGAAACTGGCAAAATACAAAGTTAAAGAGAGAATTCTGAAAGCAGCTAGGGACACATGGGCCTTGACCTACAAGGGTAGACACATAAGCGCAGTAGCAGACCTGTCCACTGAAACATGGCAGGCCTGGAGGGAGTGTCAGGAAATATTCAATGTGCTGAATAGGAAAAATATGCAGTCAAGAATCCTTTATCCATCAAGGGTGTCATTCAGAATAGAAGGAGAGAAAAAGCCTTTCCCAGACAAAAACTGAAGGACAAACCAACCCTGCAAAAGATCCTAGGGGGACTCTGTGAGTGGAACACTGCAAAGACTACAAAGGACCAGAGACATCACCACAAGCATGAAACCTACAGAGAACACAATGACACTAAATCCATATCTTTCAATAATTATTCTGAGTTTAAATGGACCAAATGCTCCAATCAAAAGGCATAGAGTATCAGAATGGATAAACAACAACAACAACAACAACAAAGAAAACAAGATCCATCTATATGCTGTCTACAAGATACTCACTTTAGATCTGAGGACACCCTCAGCTTGAAAATGAGGGAATGGAGAGCCATCTATCATGCTACTGGAAGTCAAAAGAAAGCTGGAGTAGCCATACTTATGTCAGACAAACTAGATTTTAAACTAAAAGCTGTAACAAGAGATGAAGAAGGGCATTATATCATAATTATGGAGTCTATCCATCGAGAAGAGTTAACAATTATAAATGTTTATGCTCCCAATTTTGAAGTACTCAAATATACACATCAAGTAATCACAAACATAAGCAATCTTATTGATAAGAATATGGTAATGGCAGAGGGCTTTAATACTCCACTTACAACAATAGACATAGCATCTAGGCAGAAAATCAATAAAGAAACAATGGCCTTGAATGATACACTGGACCAGATGGACTTGACAGGTATATTCAGAATTTTTCATCCAAAAGCAGCAGAATACACATTTTTTTTCGAGTGTACATGGAACATTCTCCAAGATAGATCACATACTGGGTCACAAAACACCCCTCAATAAATAAAAAAGAATAAAGCAATTAAGATCATACCATGCATATTTTCAGATCGCAACACTATGAAACTTCAAGTCAACCACAAGAAAAATTTTTGAAAGCCTCCAAATGCATGGGGGTTAAAGAATATCCTACTAAAGAATGAATGGGTCAATCAGGCAA